GCAGGAAATCGGACCCACTGTTTTGGTGCAGCAAGCAAGGCACACAAGTAATGCAAACAACACACAGACAGCGTATATTTTTATGTAATTACACTGGCTCACATGCACGCACGCACACCCGCGCACACACACACACAGGCTCTCAGCATCATTGCCCTGACCATAGGGAGTTTGTGCTGAGCTGGTTGGGATGTCAGGATGAATCAGTGTGAGGACAGCTGACTGGACATGCCCATTCATCTGCCAAAGAAAAGAGAGAAAAAGGGAGCGAGGGATTCTAAAAGAGATGAGTTAAGCCCCAGGAGCAACATATTTAGCTATCTGCATTACTTTACAGATTCTCCAAAAGGCTTTCAGTGTTTATGGGATGAAAGCACAAGATAGAATAGATGGAAAAAAGAAAACAGGAGGGTTGGAATTATTTTATAAGGATTTTGCAGATGCACATATATAGTACACAATATGGACATAGGCTGTTTTGACAAAGGAATGAGCTCATACACTAGAGGTGGCTAACTCCATACTGTTGGCCTGTTTATTCCCATCTGTTGCCCTCATCTCTCCGATTTTATCCCCATTGTGTTAACTCATTACATTCGCCTTAACCTTAACCCTTTAATTGCTACCCACCAGTTTCCCTTGTGTATCCTCCCCCTATTAGAGACGGTGTGCCACATTGCCCGTGTACTAATCTGATGGCGTCGGCCTACCAAACACCTGCTGTGTCCGGAAAAACCTCCTAAGCTCCTCCCATATTCTAGATACAGCGCTCATTCCAGCGTGAGCGGATCAGCACACGAGTGCAAGCAGGCATGCATGCGTGCTGACAGATGCAACCATGAATGCACATACAGATAATTACTCAGACATCCTCATCCCCTGAAAATCATACCAGAGTCACTTCTTTACTTTCTAGCCTTTGTGTTCACCTAGTTTTTCTTTACATACAAAGACTGAAAAGACAAACAAGAATCATCTTTTGTCCAGCCTCTATGGCCAAATATGTTTTTGAAGACAGTGATGTGTATGACCAGGCCTCTTTTCTTTGACAATAACTTGCACCCCAATGAGGGGGTGGAGGGCCAGACATAAGGCGATGTGACAATTCTGGTACAGCTGACACAATAGCAGGTTTTATTTTTGACTGCCTAGCTGGCTACATGCCAGAGTACTTTCTTTCACTATTAACAGCTAATAAATAGTCATGAATACTGGAGGAACATGTTATCACAATAGACAGTGCTATAAACATTACATTATTCGATGATTTAATGTCAAGTACAACAAAAGCCTGCTCCTGGATGATGCTGTACTGTTTTTAAATCAGATGTCTCAGAAGTATTACGGCCTTTTATGTCAAAGTTAACTTCTTGTTTGCTGAGATCAGCTGCCCAACAATAATGAAGGTTTAATTCTGTGACAATGTGGAGCCCTTAGACTAAAACATCTCAAGAGCATTTTAACAGTATGATGTAGAGATGCTCCTTGTTTCCTTTACCCACAACCTTACATCAGCATTTACCTTGGTATCAGGACTATGTGTATGCTTCTATATGCAAGTTTCCAAAGTGAAGTGTGTTGATAATGGATTATTGATCGTGAATTAGAGTGGACTGTCCCTCGGGGTTCGTCCTTGTTGGCCAGGAATGAATACATCTCTTCACGCTTCACCTCACACACTCAATTTAGACCTAGGAAACCAAAGGACACAGACACATGTCAAAATGCTGACCGCTCCAATACATAAATATTAGGCTGTCTTCTTTTAATCTGATTAATAAATGATAATGACAATGAAAATGTCAGGAATTTAGAAATGTAATATCACAAATCTAACTTTAATTTCTTGCTCTATTTTCAGGTAGTTTCACCAAAACAGCATGCAACTTGACAAACTACATCCACTTCAAAGATCAGGATGGACACTAATACAGTGACGTTTTGCAAGTTTTTGATGCCTGTTCTGAGAACTCTCTAACTGTTGGAACATAAACATTACACAGTTAGAGGATTTGTTACATAGCTGTTATTACTGACACGCCTGTGCTGCAGGAAAAACAATGGAGACAGAAGAGGGGGAGGATGTATCACAAAAACCCAGAGCCAATTTAAAGGCAGAGACAGAGGAAGATGTGACCTCTGGCCACACATGTGGAGTGTGTGGCCGTAGCTTTCCTCTTCTCAGTTCGCTGTCCCAGCACATGAGAAGACACACAAGAGAGAAGCCTTACAATTGTCCATACTGTGAGCACAGGACGGCTCAGAAGGGCAGTCTGAAGGCCCACATCCGAAGCCATAAACTGGGTTTACTAAGCCATAACTTCAGTGACAAGGAATTGGATGGAGATCAAGAACAGAAAGATAATGGTGACACACCCAACCCTTCTGAAATCATCAGCACATCTGACAAATCTCATGTCAATGGGAAGGTGAAGAAGAAAGAAACCAAGAGAAAAGTTAAAGGTAAAGATGGTGCTGAGGTCAGTGATGGGACTGATGCTGGGTCTTTTTGCTGCACCATTTGTGGGCAGATTTTCCCTCAGGTATCCCTCCTTAAATCCCACATGAAAAGGCACCGAAGTTCCCAGGATCATGGTTGCCGAATTTGTGGACGCCGCTTCCGCCAGGCATGGTTCCTCCAAAGTCATATGCGCATTCACCGGGTCAGAAGCCAGCTAAGGGGTAATGAGCCGCCTGCCACCATCAATGAGGTTCCTCAGGACCCAGCGTCACTGATAAATGAAGAGTGCCTCTATGAGCTGTGTGCTGGCTGTGGTAACTTCTTTTCTGACTGCAAGACTTTGCGAATACACGAAAAGCTACATAAACTGAACTACAGCCGCAGCCAGACACAAAATCCAGCACAAGAAGACTATGACACCTCTGAAATGCACAATGCTAAGAGACATTTTTTGGAAACCCTGAACCTCATGTGTGCCGGACCTAAGAAAACGCCTGAAGAAAAGAGCCAGAGTAAGCGAATTCCAGAACTAGATCCAATTTGTAGTTATCAAGCATGGCAGTTGGCCACAAGGGGGCGACTAGTGGAAGCTAGTGAGAAATGTCTGGGATGGGAGGAGAGACTGGCTGATGCTGAGGTAGCATATGACATGGAGAAGGGTGAGTATATACCCCTGAAGCAAGAGAAGAAGAGAAAGCAAATCGACACCTCCAGCTCTAACATTAAGAAGAAGAAAGGTGATACAGGTCTTGATCGCACATTAAACATTTCGGCTCACAGTAAAGGTGGTAACAAGAGGATTTGCCATAAGGATCGTATTCTGTTGAATGGACTTGGCCATGCGTTTTACGAGGCGCTACAAACTAAGCAGGTCAGAGATGTTCATGTCTCACCTAAACAGACCGATAGCATCAGGAACCAAGAACAGGAGGGTAATCTATACATACACACACACACGCACCACACCGCACTACTTCATCAGAGCTATGGTTCTGATGAGAGAAGTTCAGAATCCAGGGATCAATTGCTAGGGCCAGCTTATGCCGACAACAGTAGTTTTACACAGATAAATCCTTTTGGTTAAATCACGTTGTCAATAAGTCACGTTTGTGGGCTTTTTCTGGTAAGAGCTACCACACTGAATATAGACAGATCACAAGTCTTGTTTAGGTGATGCTATAAAATAAGATAAATTTGCCAGGCCAACAATGTGGAAATTAAACACTATAGTTAGAAATTACCATCGTATACTGGAAAAGGGAGACCTCTAGTGAATTTCTAATGGAATTACAGTGCAGTTTGTACAAAAGATTTTGAAAATGCATGTTTTCTTTAAGATTAACAAAGTTTAATTCTAAAATTTATTTTGTTACAGTACATATTATATTATTTAAAGTATATATAATTTACTTGCTTTTATAAATTAATACAGAAAATAGTGGTCTTAAAGGGCTCACAATTTCAATAGTACACATTTATTTACACAGTTGCAGCAGTTTTTTTTTTCAGATTGAAAATACAGTGGATAAAGAAAATATGGAATAGAAACAAGGGTCATTCAAATTATTTAAAAAAAATGCAATAAGGTGGTTTTTAATAAGGTTGTTTTTTTTTCCTGAGGATGTGGAAAGTCTACTGTTTTCAAATCCTGCAGCTGTAGCAGGTCACAGAAGTTACACGTAGCGTATTGCTTTACATTAAAATCTGGCTTTGTTCAACTAGATATAGAACTAATGCCTGGAAACAGGATCACCCAAGTGGCTTTACTACACCACATAAATTTATGTTCAATTAACGTGTTTTTTTTGTAAAACATACTTATTTAATAATCTTTAAAACGTATTCATTACAAGTATTGTTTAAGGCCGTGCAGTATACAGTAAAAAAAACAACTATACACAGCTGTTAAAAGAAACGAGACCAAAAGAGCTTATTGCCCAATGTTCATAATACAGTATGTCAGATGTTTTTCTCACTAGGATAAATTAATCACTGCTAATGAGTTTTTGCTGTGCACTGTACAAACAAATAATGACAACACATTTTTACATGACATCTTTTACATCGCTCCTTTTGCTTTTTAACTACAGATAAGAAGCCATACTTCTGCGAGCACTGTGATTTCCACACTGTTGACGCCTCACTACTCAGGTCTCACCTGCACATGCGCCACCGGGATATCCTGAGTCTCCACAGCAAACACAGCACCATTCTGGACAACGTAAACCAAAGTGGTTCCAAAGCCTCAAGATACATGGACTACCTCGGAAACAGGAGTGCGGTGCTCAGTCAGCCATACTGGAATCCTTACAAATGTCCGCCTGGTCACAGGTCAGAAGAGTCCAAAATTAACAGAGAAAGGTCAAATGGTAGTGAGGTCAAAGGGCAGGGACATACTACTAATGATGCTGGTAGTCTTCTCAATTTGTCTACATTACCCTTATGTGAAGGAGATGGCACTGTTAATAATCCAGTAAAAACAGAGGGCCTGGTGAGACATCACTGCCCATACTGCTCCCACACGACCAACTACCCTGAAGTACTGTGGATCCATCAGCGGGTTTCCCATAGAGTGGATGGCAGTAGCTCTGTGGCACCTAAGTGGGCACCCTGCACTACCAATCTCAAGAATTTGAAAGGAGGTGTTTCCCAGTGGAGACGCACAGGGGCACCACCATTCCTTGAAGGCAAGGACTGTCCTGCTTTACCCACTCCAAGGATTCAACGCACACAGCCTCGCCCACAGCACCACCACCATCAGGAATCACTCGACCCCTAAAACCCAATCAGGTGGCCCCAGTTCCAAGCATCAGTCAAAGGACTCCTGCATTTCAGATGGGACGCACTCTAGTGGGAGGGTGGGACTTCTACCTCAAAAGAAGTCTGGCAAACAAAAACAAGCAGAGGAGGGTGGAAGTAAAGGCTCCCATGCCCAGGCTACTTCATCAAGCAGTACTGCACACAACAAGAGTGTCTCTAGTCTCCAGCCTAACAGCAGCCCCAGACACAGAGGCCACAGAGCTATAGTGGAAGGAAACTTCCCACAGGAGGGTTTGGGTTTTATGTTGGTCAGGAATCATGGTAGGACTTCTTCTAATGCAGCTGCAGATGGACTCACTCCCCGCAGGCAGTCATGTGACTCCTCTTCAGGTCCTAAGGGTCCAGATCTTTGGGCTGCCATGAATATGTGGGGGCTGCATGGAAGCAAAACATACATAGAACCACTGCTTTTTGCTCAGGGAAAGAATGAATCAACAGAACACATGCCAATGGACACTGATATTTTAAGTCTTCTGAAAAACCACAGTCCCCACGATCTGGCTGCTCTCCATCAGCACTGGGGGGTTGTCGACCCTAGGATGGATCCACAAGGTAAGGGGAGAATTTGATTTTATGTTTTATGTGTGGGCAGATGCATAACTTGCATAAAGTCGAAGATTGAGACCAAGGCTTCAAAACTAGATTAAATTCATGTTTAAATGTGTTAAAACATTACTTGTATAGAGTCACTGTTATTGTGATGTTTTTTTTAAGTGTCCTGCAAACTTCCAATTGGCATATTTATGTTTAAATGCTCTTGTAACACTTGTGTTTTTACAGCAATGTTGCAGTTAAATGGAAATGAAGTCCATTCCTCCTCTGAAGCTTCCAAAGTATGTTTTCTTTGCACCAGTTACTGACATTACACAGATTTGAATTTAATGCAACAATTAGTAAATAAAAATGGCCTCATCATCCTTCATCCTAAAACCCGCATAAACCAAAAAATAGCATCTTTTAATCAATTAAATGCATAATCATCAATTGATTGACTATACAGATAACTATATTCATTTGTATATTTTAAGTTTACCCAAATTAACACTGATAATATTGGTTTTACGGCTGTGATCACTGATGACAAACAAACTGTTGTGTGAATATGTGAGTGCTTGGGAGTGTGAATGGGCAAATAGTGTGAAAGAACTTTTAGTGAGCTGCAATGCATAGAGAAGCGCTATACAAATATAAGACCATTTAGCATTCATTAGATAAGTCACTATCAGTCATTACAGGGCCTGTCAATCAGCTGGTGGTAGGACGCTGCTTCTGTTTGACTGGTATCATAAATCATGCCTTAATTATAGTTTAAACTTAAATATGTATAAATGAAGTTAGTTGACTGCAAATCTAAAATGTCACTTCACTCCCCATCCCTCACATGTACAGTCCTCACCAACTGTGCGTGGCTGTTCTCATGTTTGTACCCTGCATGTCTGGGTAGAGTCTGTCATTTCTGTACATACTGTACATGGTTGTGTGTATTTTCATGCGTTTGCATGCGTAGCTGTCAACTTCCTCAACCTGGCTGTCTTCCCTTCTCGTTTTCATAAGAGAGGCTGACAGGAATGAGGCAAACAAATAAAGAAACACAGTTGTCCCCCTCGGGGTAAAACTCACCCAGCGTCTCCATATGGTGTGTCATCAGCCTGTCAGTCAGGCCTACCCTGATGCTACCTACAACTGTTCGCACTCTCTTCTCTTTCCCCTAGAGTAATGCGTGGGCAACTTTTCCAGCAATATCTCAGTCTGTAGGATAAACCTAATAAACTATACAACCAAACTGAGTACATGAAATGTTACGTAGGTTAATCTATGTGGTGCGTTATTAAAAAGTATTATTTGCCTGATATAAAAATATAGGATGTCTCAAACCTTGATTAATGTAACTACTGTAAGAAATTTCTTATGGCCAAACATACTAATAAACAGCCATATAAAATACGTACACCAGTGGTCACCATATCCACTAACTATTTAGTTTTTTTAAACTGGGCAATAAGTGTTTCATACAAAAGTGAAAGTAAATATTTTATATAAATTATTTAAAGTTCAGAATATACATTTAGGACAACCTTCCCAGTTTAGTACAAACATACAGGTATTGATTAATTTATACTATAGCTTAAACATAAAAAAATTAAATACATACCATGCTACAGTGAAAACGAGCCGTTTCAACTTTTTAAATCAGGCCAAATAACATTTGTTTCTCACAACTTGGTATATCCAGATTTGTAACATTACAATTGTACAAATTATTTAATGTTAATGCCTATGATATTATCAAGACACTGATTTTACATATGCATTGTTTTATGATTTTAAACTTTGATATTTCTGCATGCTTATGTACTGCTAGCTGGGAATGATCATGTGAATGCCTATTATTTACACACACGTTGTTCCTGTAGATCTAACTGGTGTACCTGAAATGTTTCCTGCAGGTGAGCACCCTCTCCACTTCATCCTCAGGGTTGCCTCATAAAGGAACATGAAGACACCATGTTCCTGCTGGCTTTCAGCTTGCTGAACAATGAAGGAACCTGCCATAACTCCCAGTTGACAGAGGCATTGGATAATGCACAATATATGCAAAGCAGTGAAGTGGACTCTGATTTTTTTTGTCACATGGTTGTTTTATTTTACCTGCATGATTTTCATCTGTTAAGGGGTTAGGTATGTTAGTTACTGAAACACACAGATGCTTTATGTAGATGAGGTAGACTAAAAATATTAGGAAGACACTGCATGAGAACAACAACCCTGGTGGTAATCAAACATGATGCTACAGCTGCAAGGATAAATAAGACAATACCTGGCTATATTTCCATTGAAATACTATTTGAGTAAAAAAAGAAAAAAAAAAGAAAAACTACCTTTAACTGGAGAGAGCGAGCTCCCGCAAGACAATATTAAATACCAAATCATACAAACGATGCCACTAAAAACAAAAGATGTAAACTGTGCCCTGAACCTGTCTATATAGGTTTTAATTTTCCGTTTTTTTTTTTTTAAGGAGCCTATAAATGTGTCTCTTGCTTTAGAACGAGTATTGTCTCAACATTTTGAATAAAACTACAGCTCAAATATTGTCACTTTTCAGTTTTAAGCTCCTATTATTCAAATGTGACCTGACAATGGACTTGCCAGTAATCACTGGCCAGGTGTTCTCATCTCATTCAGAATAAAGCACAATCCAAGATATTTTCTTTTAAATAACTTTGGAGAAATAAAAAGCAGAGGATCTCCTCCACACTTTTCATTAAGTGAAGCACAAAGTCATTATCCCACTGCAAGTACTTGGTTAATTAGAGCTAAATTTGACCTGAATCTGGGCTTTAGCATGATTATCTCATCATCCCACAACCATCTGGAATTGACATTTGTTGTATTATCATCATACTCAAACTGAACGCTGTGAATAAATTGCTCTGCAGCCCACGATCTCAAGTAGTGAACTGGCTTCAACTCAAAAAACTGGCAAAAATACTTCTCAGCATCACTAAGATGATTATTGTTGCACAAATGATGTGCTTGATGTCACAAAGGCTTGGCACACCTGAGACATTTCTTGTAACACAAGCAAGTAAATGTTGTTAACTTGGTCAGAGCATCAGGTTAGTTGCAGTCTAGTAAGGGAGTCAGCACAGCGGCACCATTAGTTTCACTGAATTTACATGTATTATTTGCAAATCTGTGACTATTGCCAAATTTAATGTCCAGAGTGGACATTCACGAAGCAAAAGAGAAAAACTGTATAATTAAATTGATGGCCAACACTGTAGCCATTCTGTCATACAAGTGTGTGTCAAAATAACCAAACAACAATGAAATGTGGTAACCATACTTCATTTGAACTTCAAATCCTGTAATTTGCCCTTTGTCTCCAGTAAGAAACTCCTTTCACGTTGTGCTCGTTATGAAGCAATTTAATGCCGATTTTTACTGTAGTGCTAATTTCTACTGATGATGGCTGCCAGTCCAGTTTTAAGACTGCAGTGTGTTTGTTCTAGACCTTCTGCAATTCACCTCACAAAATTTGTTTTCCATGTGTTTGTTTGCAGATTTGTTTAGTGCGTTTATATTTTAGCTCAGATTCAGTGTATTCATCTCCCATAGTGAAACTGTCTATGCATTTGACAAAAAAGCCATCAAGTTATGGATTCTTGGCGATCTTGAGAATACATTTATTGGACTACTGACTTGTGTGAATTTGTGTGAAAAACTGTTTTTCTAGATCATTGTAAATAGTAGTTTTATTTAATGGTCTTTTTGTTTGCTACAAGTGGCATTTTAATACTCCTAAGTACTTGATATTTGTAGTCACAACAGAAAATGTTTAATTTGTTTTCCAGTGACACACTTGAAGTCAGAATGCAGAGATACTTCTGCATTAGATATTGTTGTGTGAGACCCTTGTTTTGGCAAGCCTGAACTTTTATGCAAACCTAAAGCTCAAAATTGAGCTCTCACGGACTTCATTTTTTTGTGACTATGTAAACATGTAGTTAATAATTATGTTGGTATCAGAATTTCTATTTTAACCTGTTCTACATTTTGTCTTACTGTAAAATTATTCAAATAAAGTTTAATTGTTATGTTATAATATTGTTTTTATTATCACACATCCCTAA